ATGTACAGAAAGTGCTATAGCATTCCAGAAATCTTGCACCATATTTGTTTTCTTATCTTGCAGCATGTAGCTATTGGAATTAAGAAGGTATTACATAATTTTTCAGATAAGAAACAAAAGCCAAAAATGAGATCCCTAGTGATAAGTAAAGCTTTCTGGTTAATCATGACATATGAACTCTAGGTATTTTGTATTGGTATTTAGCTACATCATAAATCAGGGCTCTTCAAGTTCTAGGATGAATAATGTTACAACTGCTTACCCAATGGCTGCATGGCAATCACGCCTTATTTTTCTTAACAGCAAGAAGGGTTTCAGGAGCTGTCTGAATCAGGTCTGTTGAGCTACCCTATTTGTGAACCAAGACTGAAGTTTGCTTTGTCAGTTTTGTAGTTGGCCCTGTATGTTTTTTAACGTATTCTTCCTTGGAATGTTTCTTCTGCTAAATCCTGTTTTTACAGAATGTAGCATTGCATTTATCAGCTCTGCAGCTGTCTGAAAATACAGGTGTTTGGAACATTTGAACTCATGCCTGTGAATCTTTAAAAAATTTAAGTTTGAATATATAAATGGGATACATGGGTTCTGCCTGCCCTCAGGGCTCCCTTAGCTTTCACTTACTAGCAATATTATTTTCAGTCCTTGTTAAGAGTAATGTCTGCCCTTTTTTTCCTCACGGTAAAGCTTGTAAAAGGTCAGACACTTGATATCATTACCTTCCCTAGAATGTTGGGTTTCCGTGTGGCTTTCTGGATGGATGTTTATCTTAGCGAGCTGCTGCTATGTTAGATTTTTTTGGGGCTGTGGCTGGTCAGAGGAGGTCTTAGAAAAGCAAAGCATGCAGTGAGTTGTCTGCGAAGGGCCAACTCTTTGTTCTTTTTCTGGCAGTAGGGAAGATGGCTAGTTTGTGTGTCCTTTGAGATAGACTTGATTGAAAGCTGTCGTATTTTTTAAATATTGTGGGAATTCATGTTCCTCTGTTGTTCCTTTTCTGGATTCAAAAGTGGGTATTTCACAACTCTTATTATGCTTTGTATGCGTCTTTATGGTGAGAAGAGGGTGCAACTGCAAGGAGTCACTTTGTGGGAGCTAAGTCTCCTCATCTCAGCAGGTTGTTGCTGAAATTTTTATTCTTATCAGTGTAAAACCTGAGCATTCCTTTCAAAGGTTTTTCTGCTGTGAAATTTTCTCCGCTGCTTTGATGTTATTTGCATCTGGAGTCAATTCACATTCAGAAGTAGGACTTCTGAACTTTCCTTAGGAAAAAAAAAAAAGAACAGAAAAAGAAAAAAAAGAGGAGCTATTACTTGTCAGCGGAAGTATAACCTAAAAAGAGGAGGGAATATAGAGTTAAGGATAGCAGACCTCCTGTGGATGAGAGATTTGTATGCAAAAGGCTTTAGGGTAGGGTACCCCTCCAGTGGCCTTGAGTGGTAAGCTGTAACCTTGGTAAACTGTCCTGGCAAACTTTGTGTTGATGTTTTGGATCTGGGAGAGGAATTTGATGTGGTTGCTGGTGCTTCACCTTACAGTACCTAAAGCATATTCTTTCCAGGCTCTTAGTCATTTATGTCCCCTCCCTTCCCCCCTTTCTTTTATCCCTCTTTCCTTCTTCTTGACAGATCCTTTTCTGTTGAGACTACTATCAAAGTGATTTCAGTACTTTACAGAATGTAATCTGAAGTCTTCCTGACTGTTCCTTTGATCAGAATTCTATGTTTCTTTGCCTTTCAGACAAAATTAACACTGGAAGTCAAAGAACGCTAGAAAGTCAACAGAAGAGACTGTAAAACATGTTCATTTAAACATTTCCTATTGTTTACTGTTATTGCTGTGAAGTTTCATCTTAAAGCATATTGAAGTCATTGCCTATTGGCTCTGAAATTATAAATAAAAAAAATTCTTGAGGGTGATTTCCTAGTTAAATGGTGAGAGCTAAAGAAACTCAGGCACCGGCTTAGATTTCCATTTCATAATTTCCTTCCTGAGGCTTGTTTGAGGTTCAGTGAAATTGTTGCTCAAGTTTATCTAAACATGTACACTGATGATACAGTAAGCTGGGTAACTAACACTGATTGATCAACAGATTTCATGGATAACATGGCAGTCTTGGTGTAGACACTTCTGTTTTCTTTTGATCCCTGTTTGTTTACTGGCAGTACGGGTAGCACTTTTGGGATTGTTATATTTAAGAAATTATTGAAAAGACTGTGTAGTGCATTTGAATCCTGCCTCTCCATATTTTTTTTCTTTCTTTCCAATGTGTATTTTCTAGGTCTAAAAAGACCAAAACAAACAATCTCTCCTCCAAAAAAAAAACCCCAAAAGAAAACAAAAACAACCTCCCTGATCTAAAACTCCCTCAACAAGCCTATATTAGGTTTTAAACAATTGCAATCCTACCGTATGGTGTACATTACTGTAATTATGGCACCTGCACACTTTGTTATGAAAGGGAAAACTCCATATTTCTGCCCAAGCAGCACACTGGGAAAGAAAAAACAACTTCAGTGTATGAAAAAAACAAACCTAGAAATCCCTGTCAGCCTTTTAAAGAGTTCTCTTGGACCTTCCTTTGAGTTTTAAAAAGTGTACAAGAATCAAAAGGACTCTATCATGCAGAAATGTAGAATACAATATATATTTTAGTGAAGATAGCTTTCGTACTTTATTTGTAATTTTTTTTTTGGCTAAACTGTATGTCCTTCCTGGCTAAATGAGGTTATAAGTTGAGTTAAATGGGTTCCGGGCTGGTTAGTGACAAGGCAATCTCTAAGTAAGTCGGCTGCTATTTATAGTTCATAAGGGTAGAGATAAATCTGTTTTGCTTTCGGCTTTGCATCTAGATTGTGACTTAACTGATTCTACTTTATTAGAGAATTTGAGGACCCATTCTCTTACTTTCCTGGGCTCATTCCATGAAACGTGTTTCTGATATTTCTTCCATTGTGACTGAAATAGAAAGCTGACATTTGGTGATACCTGAATAGAATATGCACGTATTACATCTTGTCCTGGTGCTTGGTGAGAATGGTTGTCCAGTCACTGTTGAACAAATTATGTTTTCTTTTGAGGGTCTAGATAATCGTTTGATAGTTAGAGGGCAATCACCATCGTTCATTTCCAAAATCCAAAACAGTTACAGAGTTTTTGTATGGCTATTCAGACTTACACATTTTAACTTGTCTTTCTCATCTTTTCAAGCTACTCAGTATTTTCAGTGACTCAATGGGAGTTTTAAACCCCTTGGGTCAATCCATATGTATGCAGTTTTTGATAGCTTTCTGTTGAAGCACTCATTCTGAATAAATAGCCATAAGATTATACTGTTCTGCTGGGTTTTGTGTGAATACACAAAAATTCCACGCATGTATAGTTATAGAAGAAAAATACTTGAGCGCCAGTAGCTTACAAGTAACCTTCTCTCACACCTGCAGTTTCTCTGCATCATCTGATGTTGACTGTCAAAAGAAACTGTATTACGTTACTAAAGAAAAAGTGACCCTCTAGACTTGCTTTTGATTAAATTGGTAAAAAAATTGAACTCCTCCTGTATTCTAAGTTGAATTGTTAATTTTGTCAAACTGTATTTTGTGTATTTTTCTGAATAGCTGCCCTGGTTTCAGCTGGGATAGAGTTAATTTTCTTCCTAGTAGCTGGTATAGTGCTGTGTTTTGGGTTTAGCATGAGAATAACGCTGATAACACACTGATGTTTTAGTTGTTGCTAAGCACTGCTTATGCTAGTCAAGGACTTTTCAGCTTCCCATGCTCTGCCAGGTGCACAAGAAGCTGGGAGGGGGCACAGCCAGAATAGTTGATCCAAACTGACCAAAGGGCTATTCCATACCATATGGCGTCATGCTCGGTATATAAACTGGGGGGGGTTGGCCGGGGGGCTGTGACCGCTGCTTGGGGGGGGTGGGCGGGGGAGCAGCGAGCTCTGCTCCGGGACTGGCTGGGCATCGGTCAGCAGGTGGTGAGCAATTGCATCACTTGTTTTTCCTGGGTTTTGTTCTCCTCTCTCTTTTGTTGTTTTCCTTTTCATTACAATTAATTATTATTGATGATGATGATGATTATTATTTTATTTCAATTATTAAACTGTTCTTACCTCAACCCATGAGTTTTCTTACTTTTGCCCTTCCAATGCTCTCCCCCATCCCACTGGAGGGGGGAGTGAGCAAGTGGCTGTGTGGTGTTTGGTTGCTGCCTGGGGTTAAACCACAATGATTATTTAAACAAATACAATTTGGACCTGATTCCATAATCCTCTAAGAATTGATTTCTGTCAGTATGGAAGACTTCTATTGTACTCTAAAGGCTCTGGGTTAAGAAATTATTTTCTCTCTGTTTGCACAATTTCATTCACACTGCCAATGCTTCATGTTGTGGTTAAAAATTTTTTTAAAAAATTCTCAGCCTTTTTAGAAAGCACACTTGATTTGTATAGCTTTTCATATTTTGTTCAGTTTAACGTGTAAGATACTTATTTAGTATGTAAACTGAATACACTTCTTTGGGAATTAAATCTAAATCAAATTTCACATTGTTATGTATGGAGGTGTCAGTAGGGGAGCCAAAGCTAAAACCTTGTATTAATTTACAGTAATATCCCAACAAAAAGTACTGTGCAGGTGCAGAAATGCAGGAAGACCTCAGAAGCAGAAGCCATGTCTCTGTTTTAACCCACTTTCTTTTGTTGGTTAATTGATTATCAGGATGATGGATATTATTAACAGTGGATATTAACAGTGGATTCATAAATGCTGGCTATAATTGAAGAATTTCAGTTTGAGTATTTTGAAAGGAAATATAAATACTCAATTTGCTCTTATAAAACTATATTATAAAAATTTCAAAACATTAATGTTTCCATTAAAATAGCATAGGACATCATTACTGTCTCTCTTAAATTTTGGTAACACTTGACACTACTTAAAATGGGTTATGTTAAAGATGAAGCTGAACTTAGGTTATATTCTCTTTTATAACTTCTAGAAATATAAAGAAAAAGATAAACACAAGCAAAAATATAAGAAGCAGTCGGAGTCCTCACCATCCTTGGTTCCATCTCTTACTGTAACTACAGAGAAAGTAAGTCAATGTGTTTTCCTCCTTTTCTAGTTCAATTACTTATGTTGAAATTTCATGATGTAATCATTCCAATGTATATACCGTAGCTTTAAAATATTTAAAATAGCTATAATTATCAAACACACTTGTTATTTTTTCCTATAATGTAAAATCCTAAAATACTTTGAAGTTTATAATACGAAGAAAGGCTTAGATTTTTGTAATTGAATAGAGAGTGATTTAATGGCACCAGTCAGGTGCCACTGATACTCCAATAAGTTTTATTTCATTGACTTATGCTTAATAATTTGAGAAGTTTTAGAACGTCTTTCCTTTGAAATTCACTTGTGTGTGCTGAGCTGTCACTGAACCTGTGAGCATTTAAACTAGTAATTAGGAGATTGAAGCTTATGCTTCATATACTTGTAATATCACATTGCCTTTTTAGCAGTCTGCTCCATTAGGTTCTGTGGTCTTTCAGTCCTGTTAATGTGCTAGGATATATCTAACTCAAGGGACACCGTAGAGGGTTAAATAATAAAGACTTTTCTCATTGTGCTCTACAAGAATCGCTTTTGCTATCCACCAAAAAAATAACACAAATAATGGTATCACAAAGGGGGCAGCAGTATTGAGGAACGGGCTTTCTGACTTCAAAGTTGGAAAACATTTGTCCCATTCTTGTGGGAATGTTTGACGTCCGAGTTGGGGAATCGTGGTTTGAATTAATTAGCTGTCAGTACGTAAAGCACTGGTTTTAGCCGAAACTTGTTAACTGTATGTAGTTTGGTTGCTGAGATGCGATATTCAACAACTGTGTCTATTTGCATACCAAGACATTGTCCAGACTGGTAAAACAATTGCAATACCAACTTTCTGTAGTCCCTGGATAACTAGTGGTATCAACTTCAAGAATCATCACCAAGAAAGTTTTTTTTTTAGTATGCTTTGAATATTTCTGTATTCTCAGTAGTAGGAGTATTAACTTGAGGATGTGTACCTGTTAACATCCCATTATTTGTGACTCCCACTTCTGATAAACTAGTCTTGTTTCTGGTTCTACTGTATTCTTTTTGACACTGTTATATCAAGTGAGACTTACTAGTCAGTGGTTTTCTGAAACTCCCAATAATCCTTTATTAAAAAAGAAAAAAAAAAAGAAAAAGGGAAAAGGTAGACTCAATTTTCTGCTTTGCTGTTTTGATTTGAGAGTGATTAGACATTTTTTGTGACAGTTTTTATTGAAATTGTTGTAGAATTCTTTGAGTAGTACTGACTGGTCCATGTGATTTGTTATTTCATTTTATTAATTTGTCCTGTACATATTCCTCTTGAGTCTGAGAACTCATAAAATTTGTAGCCTGTAAAATAAATTTCTTGTGTGGGAACTTCCTTTAGATGATACAATTTTTGTTTAGGCTTTGTGCTATTGATGATCTTATCTTACTTGACTATATCCTAACGAAGTGATATTGCTGTATATTTATGTAAAAGGTAAAGAAAATATATTGAAATATTGGTTATTTTTGAGTCCTACCTATTAGAATATGCTTTTAATGCTGAAGACACAGTTGGATTCTGTTTTTTTGCTATTTTCTATCTAATTGCTCCTCCCTAGACTTTTCCTAATTGCAATGTTTATGACTGAATGGTGTACACTTTAGTAAGGTGAACAAGACTAAAATCCCATTTTTAGCAGACCCCTATTTAATCCAAGTAAAAAATGAAAATCGTGCAGAGTTGTTGGCCACACTGTTAATCAAGATTGTACTATATATGTATGTATAGCAAACACTAAAGAGAATAGAAACTATAATTCTAGAACTTAAATTATAAATGAATTAAACTAAAACATAGGTACCCATTGTAGAATTTAAATATTAACATGCCTCCTGTTAGTTTTACCTTTTTAAACTTTTACACCCCATGTTTCTTTCTATCTAAGCTATCTGCTTCTTTTTATAATGCTTCAGACTGTCAGGAAAATTGGTGTTCAGTTTTGTTTGGGGTTTGTTTTTTTTTCATGGACGTTACTAAGTGTGATTATGTTTTCTTAAAAAAGTAACTGCTGGATATTTGGAAGTGACTTTTCTGTGGCTAGTTCTTTCAGTTACATTCTTTTAATTTTTTTCCAAAGTCCTTTTGACACCATTTGTATGCATTTGCTTTTCTAGTTTATAAATTCATAGTGTGTTCCTCAAAAATTTGAAATGTTAATAATTAAACAAGCTTTGTTTTCTTCTGAGATAAATATTTGGTTCAGAATATTTTGTTAGTATGTTACTTTTGTATATGCTTTTATGTAGAGTTGTCAGAGTTGATTTGGACTTGATGTCTTTTTCACAGCAGTCTGTCTTCGCAGTGAATACATTATTTTATCAGGCTATATAATCACTTTTGCTACTGCATTGTTCCTGTTGGGGGTACTGGAACTTGAATTGAATTTTGGTTTTCCTTTTTGAAGAAGTTAAATCCTTTGTGATACAGTGGTAATAAGCATTTATGCAGGTGATGCGTTAAAGCATGTTTTTATCTGGATGGGTGGCTTCTTAAGATATATTCATGAAAGGCTGTAGAATAAACTGTGGATTTACATTATGTGAGTATTATGATAGTATACTTGGCTTGCCTGTTTGTTCTGCAAAATTTAATTCTGAGAAATTTTCCTGAGGTTCCAGTCCAAATGCTGTGTTGAGTTATGAGTATGTGTTTTGTGCATCCCTGTAATGTCTCAGCAAACACTGCTCAGTCTGGATGAGTTAAGTGAAAAAGTTTGAAGTAAGAAATTCTTAACTACTCTTTGATTAATGTATCAACAAATTTTTCACTGTTCTTTTGGGACATAGGTGCAGAATGTTCTAGAGAAGGACTAGAATAACTTACGAACTTGAGTTCTCTCTCTGCCTCTTTGGATGAGGTTTTCTTCTGGCCTTCCTCTTAGTTGGGAATTGCTATCAACCCTTTATTTATTTATGTAGTGATAACCCTCCTCAGTTCACCCTGACTATCAGCCCTCTGTGGTTGTCAAGGGAGGTGATCAAATCCTGCTGCAGTGGGATACAGAAGGGAATGAAATAAGTAGAAAAATCTCTGTTTGGTATGACTGAACATCACTGCCTTACAGTAGTGTGGTGTCTGTGGGCTGTGGGTGTGTGTGGTGGTTTTTTGTTGTTGTTGGCTGGTTGTTTTTTGCTTGGACCATTCCCTTACCATCTGGCATCTTAGTGGATGATTACCTGCTCTCGTCCTTCCCTTCTGTGCGAGACTGCTGGTCTGTCTATCTGTATTAGGGCTAAAGGCTTCTCAAGTCTTGAGATGTACTGTGTATAGCAAGAATGATTATTATGCCTTTACCGTAAATCTTAAGCTTTCCCGTAAGTTTTAAGACTTGCTGCAGATGGATGGTATAACTCTTCAGGGCGCACAGAGTGATATATGGGGGGTGTAACATAACAGTAGCTCTCTGTGCACCAAGTTGGCAATGTGAAAGTGAGCTTTTAGGGAAAAAAACCTGCAAACTGGTTTATGGGAACCCTGATACACACAGAGTTAGCTTGGTAATTGCACTAGCAAATACTGATTGATTTTTGAGAACAGGATTAACATTCAAGACATAGCTAGTCAAGTCCTCCCAAATAAACCAAGGAATGGTGTTGGGTGACAGCATCAGGGGAATGTCCTTTTTGGGGGATGTTTGTACTTAAATGGGGGAAAATGACTGACTGGAGTGTGAGCAGTGAAGGGGGGAGCCTCGGGTAGCATATGCTATTTAAAAAGCATGTGCTGGGGGGAGGGAGGACTGCAGATGCTGAGGCCAGTCATTAAATAACCAAAGATGTTCTGCTCCATCCTCAGATCCTTGTTCCCTGCCAGTCTCACTCTCCTGACCTCAAAAAAAAGACCCCAAAACCACAAACAACCCACCCAACTAACCAAACAAAAAAACCCAATATAACTTTGCCATGACATGTTAGGTTTTTCTGTGACATTTATGTTAGTTCTTTGTCTTTTAGAACTTAGTGTTTTAGAAAAGAAGTCTGTTTAGGGGTGGGTAAGTTGTTGTATGAACCAATTAGCTTAATTATCTAAAGTTTGTGTGGCAGTTTTACCTTAGATCTTATTGCATATCTTGTGGATTCTCAAAGTATATCTGTTTTAGGACACTTTGCTGCAATTAACTCCTTAAAGTAAGGAATTTACTCTGGGGAAAAAAATGCTGACCAAATGATACCAATTTTACTTCTCTGAGCATCTATTGCATCATATTAGTGTTCAAGATACTCTGAGTAAGTCTGTAGATTTCAGTATGCTTTATAGCACCTTCCAAAACAGAAATACCTGTTGGAGGAAGATGTGCAAAAGCAGAACTGCAATGTGCATGCATGTTCTCCAAAATCTGCTAAGAGCAGGATTCAGGCTTGCAATCAGACCAAGTCTCTGTACGGTATATGCAAATTAATGCCTACTTGTCATTTCCGAGCCCAGGCCAGACTGCAGAGCTATGTTAAACTCTTAATTTCCTTTTTAAAAGAACGCCGCCCCCCCCCAGCCGCAGTAAAGGAGAAGAGATACTAGATAACATTAAACTATGCTTGTTGATACCTACAGAGAATTATTCTTGCAATTAATATTCAAATGAGTGGATAGGAGATAATGATTAAGAAAGGAAGGAATTGGATAAGAGGAGAAATCCTGGATCCTAGAAAAAGCCTGACTTTTGTTTTGGGTTATTGCATGTCTGGAAACCTTTTGTTCAAATAACCCAAATTTGAACCACTGCTTCTTAACTCAGGTCAAGTGACATATCAGTTTTGGGAAAACTGAGCATATTTGTGGACTTCATAACAGTTCAAAAAGTTAATTACTAAACTTACCTTAGAATTGGCTCCATCTTCATTAGAAACAGTTACCAGTAGAGTAATATGAATTTGAGGTATATTATTTAACACTATACTTTAACAGACTTAAACTGATTTTTCTTCACCATTATTCAGAAAATCCATAATATATTTTTATCGCAGTTCATAATAGGGCTGTATTTGCAATTTTGAAAGGCTGTGTTTTGCCTTTCTTTTAGGTAGGTAAATTAAAATAAATTCTTTGTTGGATTTTTAGATGGGCTATGCAGAGTTTGTTTTGTACCAGTGGATACTTTACAGATATTTTGTACATTTTCATGATGATGTATATGTTTCATTTAGAATACTGTATAGTGGCATTAATTTAATTATGATTTGGCTTACTTGCTCTAGGAAGAACAAATAGCAGTAATTGAACAGTATGAAAATATGAAACATTTATTCTTAAGTTAATGCTAACATGGAGACACTTACTTGTACACCTTGAAGACATAATGGTACTCAACATGAGTTAGTATATCAAAGTTTCAGCTTCAAATGTTAAGATAGGTAGAATCACTTCTCTCAAGTGGCACAGAGAAACTGACAAAATCAAATTTGATTCAATAGTAAGTTTTAATACTGGATTTCTGTTTAGGGTGCGCTCTACTTTTCACTCACGAATGAAGAACTTAGAAGCATTGTCTTTACATGGCTTTTTAATACGCTGGGTCACATAGGTTTGGTGTAAGTGGGATGGAGAGCTTCAGGATGAGCCTAAGCTAACGGGGAAAGTGCTTGAAGAGTGAGTCTGGTTGTTTTCTACATTGGCCTATTCTGCACGGAGACACTGACAGTGTAAAATGAAGCCCAACCAGTTTGAATCCTTCAGATTCATGTATTACTTTGCTAAGTTTGGAGTCCTTTGGGTCTGCTGTTGTAGTTTGGGAAGTGGTACCCGTCCTAGCTTGGTTTACAGTGTTTGCATGGAACAAGTCAAAAAACAACAGTAGAAACTAATACTAGAACAACAGACTAGCAGTAGAATTCAAGTAAAGCAATTTCCATGGAAACTGTTTTTAAAGAAGCTATTGGCCAAGTTGATTCCTCCCCCCAAATAAACACTGCTCCTCCCCCAAATAATTCATATAGGGCAGTATGCAAATAGATGGAAATTTTCATCTTCCTCAAAGGTTGCATGTTTAGTTGTCTTCTGGCGTTTGCAACTGAAAAGTGAGTTCTATGTAAATGTCTTAGCTGTTTTAGGAAAAATATGGAAAACTTTTTATACCAGCCATACAAAGCTGAATGTGAAGATGAGGAAATACTCTGCTGTAAGGCTGAATTCAGCAAGCATCCCAGTTGGGGAAGAGAAAACTTGTGTATATGCTCAGTTTTGAGAGGCATGTGTTTGTGTGGTCTTTAACGGAGATAAATTTAGATACTATTTTAAACTCTCTTATATAAAGAACTGAAAAAACAAATTAAGCTTGTTTTGAACAGATGAGTAGCTTCAAGATTTGATCCATTTTTTTGTTGTTGAAGAACCTTTATACAGTCAAAAGGATATTTTACTAGCTGGTTTGAGTATAAATAACAATAGAATATTATTTCCTTTTTCCTAATTTTGCTTTCATGTTTTTTTCCTTCTGATATTAAAATTCTGCTATCACAAGTCCAGGGTTTTTTTTTTTATTATTATTATGAAAACAATTATATTCCTTTGTGTGGTTTCCTAATGCTGTGCATGCAGTTTCCCTGCTCACCTGATTACTTTCTGTGAACCTATTTTGACTATTGTTCATCAATATGAACAATTCTGACAAAATTTAATCGAAGAATAACAGGCCTAAAGATAAAATTGTTGAAAGCCCTGTGAAGAGTTCATGAGTGTAGAAGGGCCAAAATTCTTGGGATGGGTGGGGGGTTGAGGAAGAAATTTTCGGTGGGAGCTCAAGAGCGTGTTATGCTTTTTCCTTCCTGTCAGGCAGCAGGGTTGTTGTAGGTAGCAAGTCATTCC